CTAGTCACTTTTAGGTTGGTATGAAAATGTCTCTAATACATAATATTCATGACTAGTCAATTTTAGGGTGGTATGAAATTGTATCTAATACATAATGTTTTTGATAGCGACTATATACACAACATTCTATTCTCATATCTAACATGTACTAGAGATTAGCTCCTGCAAACTGGAAGCGAAGGTTTCCTATGCAGAGAAGTAACGTTACCTGTATCAATACCATGTCAGATTATATCCAGCGTGCGGTGTCTTCACTCCAATCGCAGGAAAGCAGGAGGTTAATTTCGTTTTCACCAGAATTTGCAACGAAAATATTTACTCTTTGCTAGAGTTTGATGGGTTTTACACATGTTTTTGTCTCGTTTAATAGACATACGATTTAATCGGAAGTAAATCGAAAGGTGAAGCAGAACATTGGGCTGGTAGCTACATCCGACCGGATCCTGTTCAAACACATTTCTTAGCTAAGTTGAAGACCATATGCAAAACTTTATGATCGAAATTGCAGAGTATATAATTTTAACCCTATATTATTAATTTTAGTATTATTCTTTGCCTTAGATATGCGGTTAGAAATAGATTGAGATGTTTCTGAAAGGTGCATATAACATATGTACTTGGCACTATGTTTCAACGTATTAACAATAAATAGAAAAGAAAAGAAAAGAAAACAGACAACAATGGACGCTACTATCTTAGAGACGTTTTAGTTCCTAAATAACAGAAATAATGGCTCACTTGGGAACAACGGATTCTATCAAACAGTTCAAGTTACGAATTTTTAATTTTCTTGCTTGGATCATTAATGTAGTAGAGAACAAAACATAACAAAACGTTAAGCAATACACGAAATGAATCCAGCGTAAATAAGCTCTTTCACTATACTGAATGTATCGAAGTGCATATTGAAGTTGACGTAAAATGATTTATGGTTCACTTTGGGATTCAAAATTATCCGCCATTTTACCACAAAAAATTACTTATTCGAAAGAGAGATGCGAGGATTTTGTGTTTGATAATTTGCACAACTAGAGTCTAACAAAATTTAATTATGACGATGATGTTTTGTTTTTCCTCTGAGTAAAGAATTAAATTATCATTATCTGCCTTTGCTTGAAAAAAATTGAATGAATCATTTGGTAAATAAATCAATGGATTTAATATTAGATTAAAACAAGAGAAGCACATATGTTACCCGCGTTATTTATATTAATCTAGTCAATTTATGTTTTAGCTGTAGATTTTGAAAATAATAAAGTCAATTTTCTGATCTGATCGTTTAAATTTTAAAAGTTTTTTCCTTCTAAAGAAATGTATTATGAAATGTGTAGCTCTTGCTGTTTATTTCTTTCTCAAGCACTTAATAAAGGAACATATCATGTGGAATTCTGTGAAAAAAGAAGAATCGAATATTATAGAAATATGGAATTGTACAAGGATTGTAAGCTTCAACAACATCGTATGGAACTCTGAGAGATAGCACATTAAGGACGTAATACAAAAGAAATGATAAATGGGCACAGTGAGTTGATATGGCAGTTGCAGAAACAACTAACAGTCTTTATTTAGTCTCTAAATGTACGTAACCCCAGCCATAAAAATAAACGCAACGCTAGCCACTAAGTATACGCATCCCAAGTCTCTAAATGTACGTATCACCAGCCTAGCCTTTAAATGCACGCAACACTAGCTAGCTTCTAAATGTACGTAACACCAGCCTCTAAATGTACGTAACACCAGCGTAGCCTCTAAATGTACGTAACACAAGCCTAGCCTCTAAATGTACGTAACACCAGCTTCTAAATGTACGTAACACCAGCCTCTAAATGTACGTAACACCAGCGTAGCTTCTAAATATACGTAACACCAGCCTCTAAATGTACGTAATTCCAGCGTAGCTTCTAAATGTATGTAACACCAACCTTTTTATGTACGTAACACCAGCCTCTAAATGTACGTAACACCAGCGTAGCTTCTAAATGTATGTAACACCAGCCTCTAAATGTACGTAACACCAGCGTAGCTTCTAAATGTACGTAACACCAGCCTCTAAATGTACGTAACACCAGCCAATAAATGTACGTAACACCAGCGTAGCTTCTAAATGTACGTAACACCAGCCTCTCAATGTACGTAAAACCAGCGTAGCCTCTAAATGTACGTAACACCAGTCTATCCTCTAAATGTACGTAACACCAGCCTCTAAATGTACGTAACTCAGCTTCTAAATATATGTAACACTAGCCTCTAAATGTATGTTTTACCAGCTTCTAAATTTAGGTAACACAAGCCTATAAATGTATGTAACTCTAGCCTATAAATTTACGTAACACTAGTGAAATGCATGTAAAATAGATTATTTCCTCAGCTCTCCAGTAAAGAAAAACATGCAATTGGTGCTGCAGAAAATATAAAAATATGCATCCACAGACAATCAGATATGCTAACACGTGTAATCCCACAGGCTTAAAATTGATGAATAAACTTAACTATATCGGTCAATCAGGTACATATATAACGATACATTTGCGCATTATTACAGGTTTACCGATTTATCGCAACACTTTTTTTTTTAACCATAAAAGCGCGATTATCATATGCAATTGATAGATAAACAGCTGAAAACTGTTGATATGCTGGGATTCATTTCCACTGTTATATACTTTAGTCTCAAGAAATAATCAATAAAAATAATGAAACTATAATCTCTGGTACAGCCAGTCATTTGTCATGAACTATCATAGGTAAAGGTGCATGGTTATGTTAAATGTTCATTCCTGAAAATAATTGCATGTATATTATGAGGCTAAAGGTAGAATATAAGTATATGCATTTGATGCAATTTTAACTGCGGTTAATTGCTTTTATGTTTGCAGTGTCGTACATTCTCGAGGTCGAAAAGTTAGTTTCAAATTGTGTTGTTCAGCTTTCGATTGTATAGACTTAAATTGACCGTTATCTTTCAATAGGGTCAATGCCTAGCATTAGAACTGAGTTTCCGTAACAGATTTGGAAATTACAGGAAATCAATTTTACAATTCTGTTGGTTGAAGCTGCCATTCATTGCGAGAAACTTTGCTTAACACTGATGCCCTAATGTTACAACGACGAATTACCAAGTTTCAATAGGAACGGTCAACAATCGTTGAGGCAATGATTGATACTAGATCTTTGCGGGTGATATCGTTTCAAATACACTAGTGGTCATCACTCAAAGTCATACCAAAGAAGAACCGAATAAAAAATCCTTATTACTTCTTTCATATCACCTCCTGGGACTGAATCCGATTATTAAGAAAAATTAATTGACACTTAGTGGCAAAATCAGACTCTGTCATATAAATAATAATATTTTTGAAAATACTGTGATATTAGCAGATCAGAAGACGCAATCTTTTATTTTCACTATTTTCTCTGAATATAGGATTTAATAAAACCGATGATTACTTGCAATGTTCAATGTCTAGTACCTGCACTAGAAGGAATAAGGAACGAAACAGGTGGTAAGCCAAGTTTCTGAGAGTCATACAAGCTTGTTTAGACATATCGTACACATGTTATATATATATATATATATATATATATATATATATATATATATATATATATATATATATATATATATATATATATATATGTGTGTGTGTGTGTGTGTGTGTGTGTGTGCGCGCGCAAAATGTTCTTCAATTCTGAGATCAGATATAGTGTTAATTCAATAACTTGTGGTAATAAATACGGTAAGTAGTATAATACAGGTGATCGTTTTGTCGTTATCGTTCCAATGAAGAAATCTACATATATTCAATTTAATCGGTTTTAGTGAACATGGAATAGCTTCGTAAATAATAAGACGGCGCATATTCAACAACAGTATGTTTGAGGTGTGCTGAGCGCCAATAATGATCTCTAATGACTGATTTCCAAAGAAGCCTCACAACGAACAGGGAGTATGAGATTAGTTGCGATGAAGTTTCAGGACGGAAGTTCTGTAAGATTTGCAAACATTTCGAAAATCTCAGATACCGACTCTTGTCGAGTTTGTAATAAAACAGAAATACGAACACTACTTAATATTTATCAGGAAATAAAACTGAAATACGAACTCCATTTAATAATTGTAAGGAAACAAACGTTATCAGCTTGCTTATTCGGATTCAAATCTTGAAGCAAAAAAGTACACATCTACAGATGGCGGCCCATTAAAAAACATCTACAGATGGCGTCCTATTAACCCGTATCTCATTTCTCATTTCTCATTTCTGTAAAATATCGATCATTTTCCAAAGGTTAATTTATGTTATAGTCTCTATACCAACCTCTAAATGTACGTAACACCAGTAACTAAATGTACGTAACACTAGCCTTTTAATGTCCGTAACCCAACCTCTAAATGTACGTAACCAGCCTCTAAATATGCATGAACGTAACACCAGCTTCTAAATGTACGTAACACCAGTCTCTAAATGTATGTAACACCAGTCTCTAAATGTACGTAACACCAGCCTCTAAATGGACGTAACATTAGTCGCTAAATGTACGTAACACTAGCCTTTAAATGTATGTAACACCAGCCTCTAAATTTACGTCACACTAGTAAAATGCATGTAAAATAGATTATTCCCTCAGCTCTCCAGTAAAGAAAAACATGTAATTCGTGCTGCAGAAAATATAAAAATATGCATCCACAGACAATCAGATATGCTAACACATGCAATCCTGCAGGCTTAAAATTGATGAATAAACGTAACTATAGCACTTTGTGGCAAAACCAGACTGTCATATAATATTGTTTGAAAATACTGTGGTATTAGCAGATCAGAAGACACAAACCCTTTTTATATATACTCATATAGTAATTTCTAGCACTGGGGCATCAAACCGTAGACATGTAACATGATGTCCCACCCAGTCACCTTATCCTGATACCAGATTGAACAGTACTAACAATAACCTCTTAATGCTGAACGTCACGTGAGGCTGCTGTTAGTACCATTTTTGTAAGTCTTTGGTATGACTTGACCTGGGACCGAACCCACGATCTCCCGCATCCGAGGCGGACGCTCTAACCACCAGGCCACTAGAGCGGTTCTGTTAATATCGAAAGTTAAACGAAATTCTTGCAGGGTATTTTACAATATTGTCTAGATCATTACTGAATTCCTCATTATTAATTGCAAACATAATGATAAAATAAGATAAAGTGGAATTTGTAATAATTATCAGAGTTTATATATTTTCTGACGAACCCCGTTGTATAAACATGTCGTACAAACTATTCTACATACACTTGTTTTGATACATATTTTACGAAACTAATCTCAGTCTGGTTCTAGTATGATTATTTGTTCTTAAACTATCTTCTTGCAGTCTTGGAACACTATGAACATTTCAAAAAAGTGGGAAAGAACTTCCTCAACTTGACTTTAAAGACATACACTGCTCTATGATAGATGGGACATGTATTACTCATAGCAGAGTTTCTGTGCAATAGCGTAATATTGCACAACAAAGAGTTTTCCATTGGTTGGCTATCTCATAAAACTTAAACTATAACTATACAAAAGTGATTATGCTTTTTATAGCTGATTTATTACTCACTGCTATGTTTTAATTGTCGGCTCTAGATACTGTAGAAAAATATTGACTTTAAATTAAAAGAGACTCACCGTTAGGAAAGGCCACCTTTCCACGCTGCCGAACCCTCTGTGTCACTCTACCTCCAAACATAATTGTATCAACTTTATATATATATATATATATATATATATATATATATATATATATATATATATATATATATATATATATATATATTTATATATATATATATATATATATATATATATATATATATATATATATATATATATATATATATATATATATATATATAAATGGATCAAAAATGGTTAATGATTTAATAACGAATTGATAAACGAGTTGAAAAATGTTCCGCTTTCTGTGAGCCTTGGCGAGGAAAAGTTGTACATTATTCAATTGAATATCATAATTCAAATATTAAATCATTACCCATTTGAGATTCCTTTTATCGCACTTTTTATTTTAGTAAATATTATTTAGAGTAAAAGATGGAACAAATTTGCTCATTATGACTGGGGCGCTGTATCTTTCGTTTGTAGTGAGTAAAATATAATCCCAAACGAAGTTGATAGCGTTTTAACATTTCAATGTAGCCTAATTTTTCGGTATTTTATGTCAAATAACAAATGCCCTTCCGACAAAAATCCTAATATTTTTCACAGACAAAATTATTTTTCAAGACAGAATGTCCAATGTGTATAATGACACTATGTTTTGATGCAGTACCGGTAGGGTATAGTTGAAAATCCACGTTCATACTAAAGTGTTAATTTCACAGCTAAATATTCTATTTTTTGCGATATTCCTGTGCAAATATAATTACTGCAATGTTGTTGTGACCGCATATTTGCATTATTTGATTTAGAATTGTTGTGTTTTAGTTCTTTTACCGCTCTTTGGAATAAATCTGTTTGATACAAATTTTTTGTCATACAACCTTCTTTGTTGCGCTATATAAGTTTACATATATCTCCCCCCACCAATCTACAACCAACCAACTCGTGCTTCGTTCACTAATATACTTACTGGTGTTATTTATCTTAATCCGAAAAAAAAGTAAAGAAAACCACCGTGTATTGTAATGATTTGTGCTTTTTGCATGCGTCAAATATAGCTGGTTGTTTTTTGTTTTCAAGCACGTTTTGGAAAAAATTGTATGTCTTTTCCACAGACTATATCAACAATGAAGTTAAGAATTTCATCGATTCTCTCTGTAAAAACCAAATAGCGAGTACTTCATACGGTTTGTCTGCTAATATTTGCCGGTCAAATAATTTCGGAATAATCCAAATGTAAAAATAGTTACATAAGGGAATTAGGTTTTTGATTTGTACGTTTATTTTGAAATAAGTCAAACGTAAGCAATTCTTACACAAGGGAATTAGGTTTCTTATTGTTTGGTTTATATTGGAATAATCTAAACCAAATTTGAACAATACTTACACAAAGGAACTATATTTTTAACTGGCTTAAATTAAATATTTAGAATAATGCAAACGTGAACAATACTGACACAATGGAATTAGTGTTTTGATTAGTTGGTTTATGTCATGATGTACGGTTTGTTAATAACCAAATCATAACATCAGGTTAATTTTTAATTTAATGTCCGTCTGGATGGTTTGTCAATATAATTTACAATATAAATTTTTAAAACTAGCACGTAATGATTGTTTATAATATACAAATTACTTAAATGCGATCCTGTTTAATGTCACGTGATATATAAACCATAATCATTACTCTTCTTGCTCGTTCCGTGGCTATTGGTTACACTTCCATTCTGATCCTGAACCATTTTGTTGCTGGAGTGATGAACACCAATTTGCTGACTCTCCGTCACAGTATCTAATAATTCTGATATTCTCAGAAACCTGACGATCAAAATCACTTGATATTTCTAATATAACTCTTCTGGCCTGCTTAAGTTGTTTGCGTTTTCAACGTTTCTCTGACAGAAGTTTCAACAAAATAAAGTTTGCTTAATTGAACATCTTCCTGGAACTGTGCGCTAAGCAATAAACATAACATTTTGGTTGAATATAAAAAAAAGGTGTCAATGTATCTAAACATTCTTTGTTTAGCGTCAAGAGAAAGCATTTCCAATATAATCCAGACTAACTCACAACCAGACTAATCTAGACTAAATCACATCCAGACTAATCCAGACCAACTCACATCTAGACTAATCTAGACTAACTCACATTCCTAACTAAATCAATGAATCTTATAATTCAATCGAACACAAATTAAATAAATCTGAGATTATTTCGTGGGAAATTTGATAATTGTAGCTTGATAGTTTTGCACATAAAGATATACAAAACTTCTATTAGACTACAAATGAAAACGGTTACTGAGTAGAAGGTGGTATAAATGACTGATGACGGACAGTAGCAGTTCTACCGATGTTTTTATTGACACCCAAATCATTCGATGTGCCTTTTGTCAAGGACAAGCATGTTACAACTGGACAGGACAATCAAGTCTATGCCATACAATTTTACCTGCAAAATGACCAGTAACTAACGAAAGCGATAAATGCGTGTATTAAGTGGACAACACAAGCGAGTTCTCTCTCACTCACATAGCCTTGGGCTTCCAAAAACGAGCGATACGAAACAGTAGGTTTGTATGTACCTGCTTGACAAATGACTCTAACGAAGGAACCATCATCCTTAAAGTTATCCTATAAGAATTATTGGATGCCAGTTTCCATTTCACTTTGCATTAAATAGAAGAATCGTTATAGAGATCTTTAAACTTTTTATATTATCACATACATAAACATCGTTACATGAAAGGATAACAGAGATAAAAAGGAGGTACTTCTACGGCATCCGTGTCTCATGGAGTATGATACACAGATCATTTAATCGGTATCACATAATCGAATCCAACCATATGCTCCCAACTGGTACGGCAGTGTTGTATACCCTTAAGACAAACCATGTCGTGATATTGATCCTATGCCTGTTTGAAATGTGACAGAACAGAGTTAGAAAAGGAAAGAACAAACGACTGCAATACCATCATCCAAATTAATATTGACCACAGTGCTGTCTGCGTTCATTTCCTTATAGAACGGTTTATAATTACCTGTACAATAATATCACGAACGTTGCAATTGTATTTTTATTGAAATCGGGGAAGATGATAGCTCAAACTTGTGTCACAAGATTAAAGACGGGTGTTGAAAGATGCATCAGTTACCTGGACTCCATAATGGACTTCGTAATGTTAGATAGAACCAAAACCATGATGACATGTTATGCTGCACTCCTATCAAGATTTTTAAATTTAGCTGTAGGACAAAGTCTATGTTGTCTATGATCATAGTAAAAGACATACAAGATAAAAAAAGAAATAAAATCTACTGATGTTGGAATAAAATTAAATGTTTGACGGCTGCCTGACTTGAGCTTCCAAGAAAAAATGTTACCTATGTGTTGACAGCCCCCCACCTAACGAATTCTCTAGTGTACAAAATCTCCTTTAATTAGACCAAGGCAGTTTTCTTTAAAATATTCATTCAAATGTAATTAGGTATATGTTTAAACCCCATATCTAACCAGCGAGTTTACGAATCGAGGGTCAATATAGAATCTGAGACGAACGTGTCATGTACAATACTTTTTTCCAGTTTGTTGAATGTTCCATAGCGTATATTTATTTTGATGTGGTCGAAGCCAGAACACGCCTTATATGTTTAAAATATTTAATGGTGTCTGCATTATATATGATTGTAAATTGGTTATTTATTTCTTTGTTTGTTAATTTCTTTGGTTGTTTTATGTTTTGTTCATTAGGTTTTTCTTTTACCAAACTGGTCTGCATTCGTCCAACCTGCTTAACGTACGATGAGTACCTGTCAAGAAAACATTTACAGCAGTAACATGTTGACTCAGTGAGGGGTGAGTGGTTCTTTATGATGTTTGAAGTTCATTTTGATAATGTGAAAGATTTAATAATGCCATTGTAACCAACACTACGATTCGCTCCAAGTGATAATGGAATGTATTAATACTACAGAGTCCCTAGTATCCAGTATTTAAAGATAGGTACCCAACAATTCCTTGCACTGACCGCTCTACAAATCTTACATTAACTGTTGTTTACAACTGAATGCATGAATTTATTCACGAAGTGATACCATTCAATCTATGAGGCAGCTAAATATATTTCACAGCGAAATACATTACAGTATCTTTCCTGAATTATTGACAACCAAGCATAAAACTGCACACAATACATTTAAGACGTTTAAGGATGTAAGCTTTCGCCACAGTTTACTCTCTGTGGTAACTGAGTTGATGACATGTCAGTACTTATATGCCTAGAACCAATATAATGCGCATGCACAATAATCACTAACTTTAAGAAACGTTCACACTGGTTAGCAATTCAGATCGAATATACACGTCAGTATTGTAAAACTCAATAAAAGTACAATTGTCACTAAATGCTGTACTCTGTGCACATT